TGCTGCTGCTGCTGCTTCTGCTGCTGCTGCTACTGCTGCTTCTACTGCTGCTGCTGCTGCATCTGTATTCTGGTTGGTGCTGGGCTTAGTTTTATTGTTGTGTCAAATTAGCCTCTGCCTCGATAAAGTGATTTTGCAATTTAAAAAAAAATAAATTTGATACAAATGTCTTTAATGTTAAAAGTCTGCTCTTCAAAGGGAAACTTATTACTTATCACAACTTTTCTATTAGTACTGTCTGGACAGACATCCAACCCGATCAATTATAATTGATCACACTATAATTTCCTGACGGTCTCAGACAGTGTGAACAGCCTAAGGTGGTAATCATCAACCGGCCCGTGACTGGATTCCAAAATTGTGAGGATCAAAGAGAAAATACCATGTGGTCCCCACTATTAAAGAACAACTGAAAAAAAAAAAAAAAAACTTTAATTACTGTCACTAATCCCCACCATTTATGACTCCATTTACATTCCATGAGACCTCAGACGACACCTGCTCCTGTAGTGATGAAGTTTGTAAAAATAGTATTTATATTTAGGATTTCCAGTGACCAAACATTGAATTTACAAAGTCATTCCTCGTGCTGAACAGAACTGACCGTTCAGTCTTCAAATCATGAAAAACCCAATCTTTTTTTTCCCTGATGCTGCCATTTTTACTTCTTTTTTTCTTGACCCATTTTCTTGCAGGGATTTTACTGACATCCTTTTCCTAGTGATTTCATTTCTTTGCATGATCCTTCGGCAACTCCGTCCCACTTTCCTCACCCTTTCCCTTCACAAAAGTTCCTTCCACAAAGCCTACATCTTCCCTTGGCAGATGAAAAAAAAAGGCCCATTTCAGGAGTCCTACATACCGTGAGTGTAGGTGTGCAGCTCCTACTGTGATATGGAACAGAACAACCTCAAACTCAAACTGTAATGTGTGTCAGACAGAGGGAGACGGAGTACAATCGTTTTCCTGCCCCCCCACCCTTTACACAACACAGCTTATTAATAATACTGTCGATGGGGGCAACTGGACTCAACTGCAAATATTCTCATATCTTTTATAAACAGCCGCTCATTCAAAAATACTTAATTCAATAAACAGCCGCTCATTCAAAAATACTTCATTCACCTAATTCTAGGGGTGTTCCAAAAACTGGACTCGACCAAACTACAAGACCGCTGGTGTACAACCGACAAAGTCTGGGATCAAACCGACAACCCTGCGGGTTAGTTAACACCTGCACCACATGTATTTATTATATTCAATGCATCTATTGTTCATCTGTTTGAGAACATTACTGCTGTTGTCTTTGTATTTATTTTCAAATAAATACATCTACATGACCAAGCAAATAATTCAACACCGAGGAAACTTACTGAGGTTGAGGTTAATTTTATGGCTTTTAATCTTATCGACTGCTCCACTGTAAAACAACTCAAAGCTGTCGAAGGTGCAGTCCTCCATCTTGCGTAATCCCGTCCGCCTCTGCAGCCGACCGGTGCCCATGACACTGGTGCATGACCCGGCCGGCAGAGTGGCCGCCTTTGTGCGTTCTTGAAACAAAGCCACGGCTGCTTGACCTAAAGTTTAAACCTTAAGTTTCTACCTCTAACGTTCATCCAACTGAATGTAAAATGAAAAAAAAAGGAAGTCCAAAACCAAATCTAGATCGATGAGAATAAAAAAAAAAAAAAAAAAATCCAAAACCAAATCTAGATGAGGCAAGAAACACGGGAGACTTTGTTGACATCCGTCCAAGTCTGGTGTTCAACCTGAGCTTGTGTGAAGGTGTTCTACTCTGGGAAAAAAGAGAAGAAAGACAGAAGGGTGGACGGTGAAGAGAGAGGTGGGGCTTCACAGGGTGGCCCGGCGGACTAAGACGCCCTGGAATCTGAGATTTTCGAGCTTACAAGGAACTGAGCATCATTATACACGTTCATGCATCAGAACAACATGTATAATTCCTGTGTGAGAGTTATGTGTTCCTGGTGGTGCAGCAGCAGCAGCAGCAGCAGCAGCAGTAACAGCAGCATGATCATGTGTTAACACTGTACACATGAAGGGGAAAAACAAAAACAAATCGCTTTTCATCTGAAGTCTTTTTCTAATGGACAAAGTAGTGAGTGGAGGTTTTCAATCTGGACCACAGACAATGGATCCTTTCATTAAAGAAGGTGGAGGAATGGTGGGGCAAGGGAGGTCAGAGAAACACACACTCAGGGAGAGAGAGAGAGAGAGAGAGAGAGAAAATCAAGCACTTCACACTGGCCTTTCGTTGTTAATACAATGAGAGGCCAGTGAAATCACTTTAAAAAAGACCTCATCACTGACCATCAGAAACAAAAGAAGAGCAAAATGTATTTAAGTAAGAACGGAAATAAAACATGAATTCCTCATCTGTCCAGACCAAAGCAATCAGACACCCAGATATACTGCTGAGTAATGCTGAGTGTATTTCACTAAAACACACTGTCATTGAATTTTCAGATTTGTTTTGTTACTGGAGATGAATGATTTTTTTTAACCTACACTACTATACTGATGTGAAAAGTTTCACATTTTTGGTTAAAGAAATAATAACCTACATCTTTGAGTTTTTCTCAACCTTGGGGTCGCAACCCCCATGTGGGGTCGGCTGAAATGTATAGAAAAAATCTCTGATTGACGGCTGCGATCACATGACTGCACAAGCCAAAACAAATGGTTGGGAACAACTGGTTTATGTCGACCTGAGGATCAGAAATGCTAACAATAACAGTTCTGTCTCTTTTCAACTGTTTTTTGCACTGTTTTGACATTTGTCCCAGATTTCAGTTGTTGATCTAATTTTTAAAAACTCTTGTCTAACTTTTCTTCTCCTGTCTGGCTCCACCCTTAACCCTTTTCTCAGGCTGTGCTGCCTTCACTGACCTCTGGTGTACATGGCACAGAGCTGTGTGTGTGTCTATCGATCTGTCTTCACTCCGTTCCGTGTGTCAGACGTATACTGAAATATTCATCAGGGGAGGATAAAGTAAACACGCGATAAATAATCTCGACTAAAATGGATCGTCATCCAGTGTTGTGTCAGCAGGGAGAAGAGCATCTGCCTGAGTGGAGAACAGTAATCACAGCCGGGATTTCATTACATCACGGCCTGAGACGCAGCCGTGTGCTGCACGGAGCAGGAACCAGTAGGTTCGAGGGAAACGTTAGACAGACCAATCACACCTCAGCAGTCTTCCTTCTGATAAAAACCAGGCCACAGGTTTAACTTGTTGCTTGCAAACACTTTGATGGAACATACAGTACAAGTGTACGAGTTCACACCGAAAATTCGCTCTCTCTCTCTCTCTCTCTCTCTCCGCCCACGCGCTCTCTCTCTCTCTCTCTCTCTGCCCACGCAGCCACCTGTTGCACTTCTCACGCACGAGTAATGATCCAACACTTGTTGTCGACCTGCCACTGTACAACAAATATTTGCAGTGAACCTGCAACAGGGACTACAGAAGTTAGAGATGATTACTGCACTGGAAGAAACCGTTATAAAATTACAAAGCCATTGATTGAATTGGTGTTTACAGTTACGGCAACATCTGCTCGTTGGCCCACTGTGCGTCACCGTCAGTTCCTGGAAATCGGAGCTCAGCCCCGGTAGAACAGGCTCCCTGGGCAGCTTCGTTATCATGTGCTGTAGCTGCATTTTTTTTTTTTTTTTTTTTTTAAGGGAGCATGAATCATCATCTCCATCAACATACAAGGATGAGCGATGAGTCAATCTTTTCTTACAGAATACTCCATCACTTGGATAGTTAGCCAGTATAACAGTTTCATTTTCCCATCATCGGCCTACGACCATCCACCTACAACCTGCATCTGTTTCCTTTGTAACCG